AGGCAAGAGAAAGAAATAAAAGGCATCCAAATAGGGCAGGAAGAAGTAAAACTGTCACTTTTTGCGGACAACATGATTCTCTATATAGAAAATCCTAAAGACTCTACCAAAAAACTATTAGAAATAGTAAACAAATACAGTAAAGTTGCAAAATCAATGTACAAAAATCCAATGCCATCCTGTATACTAACAACAAAACTTCAGAAAAAGAAATAAAATAAACAATTCCTTTTGCAATTGCAAACCAAAATAATAAAATACTTAAGAATAAACTTAACAAAGAATGTGAAAGACCTACATACTGAAAATTACAAAGTGTTATTAAAAGAGATTGAAAAAGACACAACAAAATGAAAAATATCCCATGTTCATGGATTGGAAGAATCAGCATGGTTAAAATGGCCATATTACCCAAAGCAATATACAGATTTAATGCAATCTCCATCAAAATACCAATGTCATTTTTTAAAGAAATAAAACAAGAAGTCATCAGATTTGTATGGAACCACGAAAAACCCCAAATAGCCAAAACAATCCTGAGAAAAAAGAATGAAGCTGGAGGTATCACGCTACCTGGCTTCAAATTATACTATAGAGCTACAATAATCAAAACAGCATGGTATTGGCACAGAAACAGAAACACAGATCAGTGGAATAGAATCGAGAGCCCAGATATAAAACCACATGTATATAGTCAGATAATTTTTGACAAAGGAGGCTGGGAAAACTGGAAAGCCACATGAAAAAGAATAAAACTAGATTAGTTTGTCCACATGTACAAAAATTAACTCAAAATGGATCAAAGACCTAAATGTGAGACCTGAAACAATAGTTACATAGAAGAAAACATAGGTACCAAATTTATGCACTTTAGTCAGAAAACATTTTATGAACTTGACCCCAAAGGCATGGGAAGGAAAAAATAAATGAATGGGACTATATCAAACTAAAAAGTTTCTTCAGAGCACAAGAAACTGACAACAAAACAAAGAGGCAGCCAACCAGATGGGAGATGATATTTGCGAACAGCTCCAACAAAGGCTTAATTTCCAAAATATATAAAGAACTTATAAAACTCAACACCAAACAAACAACCCAATCAAAAAGTTGGCAGAGTGCCCAGCCAGTGTGGCTCAGTGGTTGAGCATCGCCTTATGATCCAGGAGATCAAGGTTTGATTCCCAGTCAGGGCACATGCCCAGGTTGCAGGCACCATCCCCAGCCGGGGGCACGCAGGAGGCAGCTGACCAATGACTCTCTTTCATTATTGGTGTTTCTCTCTCCCCCTCTCTCTTCCTCTATCTCTGAAGTCAATAAAAAATATATTTTAAAATAAAATTTTAAAAAAAATTTTAAGTGGGCAGAGGACCTGAACAGACACCTCTCCCAAGAAAACATACGAACAGCCAATAGATATATGAAAAGATGTTCAACCTCACTAGCAATTAGGGACATGCAAATCAAAACTACAATGAAATACCACCTCACACCTGTTAAAGTGGCTATCAATAAGAAAATCAATAACAAGTGTTGGAGAGGTTGTGGAGAAAAGGGAACCCTCATTCACTGGTAGTGGGAATGTAGACTGGTACAAACACTATGGAAAGCAGTCTGGCAAGTCCACAGTAAATTAAGAATACAGCTACCATAAGACCCAGAATTCCCTCTCCCTCCCCCCAAAACTAGAAAACATGTATTCACAAAGATATATGCACCCATATGTTCATTGCAGCATTATTCACGGTGACCAAGACATGAAAAAAACCAAAGTGTCCTGCGATAGAGGACTGGATAAAGAAGATGTGGTACATGTACACAATGGAATACTACTCAGCCATAAGGAAGGATGAAATACTGTCATTTGCAACAACATGGATGGATCTTGAGAATAACATGCTAAGAGAAATAAGCCAGACAGAAAAAGCTAAGAACCATATTATTTCACTCATATGTGGGATCTAAAACTGAAATTCATGGACACAATCAGCAGTGTGGTGGCTGCCAGAGGGAAGGGGGTGGGGGTGAAGGGGGGTCTTTACATATGGTGAGAGGAGAAGATATGACTTTGGGTGGTGGGCACACAGAGCAATATATAGATCTTGTAACATAGAAACCCACACATGAAATCTATATGTTCATACTAACCATTGTCACCCCAATAAATTTTAAAAAGGAAAGGGAAAGGGAAAGGGAAAGGGAAAGGGAAAGGGAAAGGGAAAGGGAAAGCCTTGCAAGCCTACAGGTTTTTCTGATGCTGGGTGTGTTCCAGCTTAGTAAGTTACAGGGGCATTATTCTCTTCAATTTCAGCAGAACTGTTCCTCATACCATCTAGAATGGGTAGCTAAGAATTGCAAACAGCTCAGCCTCAAACCTAATTGCTAAAAGATCTTACCTGAATCTGTGTACAGCAGCCCCACAGTCATGGTTTCTGGTAGGAAATTGAGCTAAGTGTGCACCAGCTTCAGGATAGATCCCAGGAAATCAGTGCTCAGACTGACATTGGTTTCCCTTCCCTTAGGAGGAAAATTTGTTTCTTTCTTCTTCCATAGGCCCTTCTGGTCTCTCAAGCCAAATGAACTTAATATTTCTGGCCTTAGGGTTCGTTTGTGCTCTAAATGACACCTTGAACCTCCTGTTACCAGTAGGCCTGGAGTCTCCCTCCTGCCTCTTTCCATGAAGGTCAGCCCCAACTTTTTCTGAATTTAGGCTCTAGGTGGTGCTGGCTTCCTATTCCCCATGAAGCTGGAAAATCCTTAGGTTTCCTTTTAAGTCTTGGTTTCTGATAGTTGAGCTGTTTCTTGTGCAGAGACGTTACAGCATTTGACAAATTAAGTCTTTGCCACCAGGACTGCTGTGCTCAAGGATGGAAAGTTTTACCAAAGCTCACAGGCCAATGACTTGTCACAGGGTCTTTACTGAATGCAGGGCCCAAAGCTGACTATGGTCTAATATTTAGCCAGCACAAGGCAGGCTCTCAACTAAGTCTTTATATTCACTCTCCCATTGAATTCTCACAGTAACTGTATGAGGGATGTGGCAGGCAAAGGCCTTCATGGTCCATGCTCATCACAGACACAGGACAGCTTTCCAACAGCCTGGGAAGGAATAGCTTAGTCTGCCTGTATGAACACGGCATTGTCAGATAGACAGTGTTGGGAAGATTACATGGGAGGGCAGATGTAGGACTTTGGAGCATCAAATATATTCTTGTCTTTCTGTCCACCTGGAGTTCTGGTCAGCTTGAAGATCTGGATTGGAGACTATTTCCTGGCTGGATGGCCCATCTGTCTGTCTGTACAGATAGAGATTTGTCTGGTTTATTGAGTGTCTACCTGTCTAGATGGGGGAACAAGAGGGGTGGGTGGTGGTGTCTGTCTGTTGTTTTCTGGCTAGGGGTCTGCATTTCTGTCCAGCCAGGGGTTTGTCTGAGGGTCTTATCAAGCTGAGAATCAGTCAGTCTATCTGGAGTTCATTTTTCCAGCTGAATCAATCTACTTGGATGTTGATCAGTCTGTTTGGCTAGGAGCCGGTACATCTGTCCGGGTCAGTCTGTCTATGAGGCTACAAGTCTGTCCTCCTGGCTACCGATTTATTTGCCAGGGTGACAATGTGTCCATCTACTTGAGGGTTGGGGATCTATCTGGCCAGGAGTCTGCCTGAACAGCCAGGAAACAAGTCTTCAGGGGAGAAGGGTATTTCTGTCTGGCTGGGTTCTGTCTAAATAGGGTTTCATTTGTTGGGGTCAGTCATCTGTCCAGATGAGAGCCCACCCATTCATCTGGTTTGATGTCTGCCTGTCTAGCTTGGGATCTGGCTAACCAATTGGCTTGAAGTCCATTTATCTCTCTGGCTGAGGACAGTCTCACTATAGAACTGGGAGTCCATCTGTCTGATTAAGGGTTCATCCATCCAAGAGGATCCTATCTTTCTGAGGGGCTAGAGGTCCCTCTGGCTAGTAGGGAAGCTGTTTGAAGGATCTGCTGATCTGCAATGTATGCCTAACTGGGAATGGTCTGGATAGTAGGGGTTCCGTCTAGCTCATAACAGTCATCTGAAGGTCTGTCTGCCTATCTGGCCAGTTGACTGCCTGGGGGTCCACCTGGTTATCTTCCTAGCAAAAGGTACAGCAATTTGTCTGCCAAAATGTGGGTTTTCTGTAGTTGGTGACTTGGTAGAGTCTGTCCACCTGTCTGGAGGTCCACCTATCTGCCTAGTTGTGAGTCTGGCTGGCTGGTTGTGGGATCTGTGTAATCAAGGGTCTATGTGACTAGTTAGTGTTTGGCTAGAGTCCATCTAGCTAGCTGGGAGTCTGCCCACCTGGTGGGCGAGTCTAGCTAGCTAAGAGGGTGCCTATGTGTCTGCTCAGCTGGGGATCTGTTTATATCTGTCTAAAAGTCTGTTGAGCTAGGGATCCATCTGGCTGGTATCTGGCTGGCTACCTATCTGCGGGGGCGTCTATCTTTTTGGTGGTCCCTCTTGCTGGGGGTGATCTGTCAGGCTGTTTGTTGGTCTATCTCTTTGGCAGATATCTATCCATCCAGCTGTGTAAACTGTCCCTCTGAAGGTCTGGTTGTCTAGTGGTATGGCTATCAGCCTGTCTAGGTTAGGGTCTATCGATCTGTCTGCCCATCTGAGGATATTTTTGCCTGGCTGTCTGCAATCAGCCTACGTGGCTGTTGTCACACCTAGCTTGGATCTGTTTGAATGGTGGAGGATAGTCTTTCTCAGGGTCCATCCATCTCTCTGTGTCATCCGCTGAATGCCTGAGTGAGGGGGCTTAGATGCTGAGATGAACTAGTCTATTAAGTGGTGATGGGGGCAGTCTCCAGAAGCCCATCTGTCCATTCTCCCCTTCACAACTAGGGGGCCCTTGGGGTTGAACCCAATCCTGATGTACATTCTTGAACTACCTGGTGCAGACCCACAAGCAATTATCTCCCAGCTACCTCCCCCAGCCTCAAGCCTTGAATGCTATAGTCACTGGGACAAAGCCCCCACATTTCCCACCCTGAGAAATTTTATTTTGATCCAGGCCCAGCACTTCCATTCCCAACACTTCACACAGCAGAGCATAGCCTTCAGCAGTCCAAGCACCCATGTGGGGTAGCAGGCAGGCTGGTGCAGCATTCACACCCGGGTCCACTCTGCAGGAGGGTCCCGGGGCCCTTTAGGCCTTCCAATGCGCAGGTTGAAGCCTGGGAAAGGAAAGGCACCGTGGGTCTCAGGGAGAAGCTTCGATGTGGAGAGGTAGGCAACTTGATTAAGATCATCCCCAAGCCTTCAGCCTCTCCTGGTTCACTGCAGCCCCATCCACAGGACTCTGAGGGTGGGAGTCCCATGCCATCATCCCTAAACCCCAAACTTCTGCAATTCAGTTAAAGCTGCAGAGTCCCCACAACTTGGGCTTTGTCTTACTTACCTAGACCACCAGTCTGAGATCCACCGGTGACGTCCTCGTATGCGCCAGGCCCAGTAGGGCTGGGGTCAGCAGGAACTGCAGACAGGAAACCAGGCTTCAAGTATCAGCTCCCGCAGAAGCTGGGGT